AGATCTTGCCTTTCCCGAGCTGCTGGCTGAAGTTCCCCTCTCGAGGTAGACAGATCTCAGGAATCAAAGACTAATTTGTGCACAGTTTGGGGGTTTGATGTTTAGTTCCATATGTAGGGCTAATAACAAGCTACCAGAGGCACGGGTATTAAATTTCTTTCCTTTTTTTTTTTTTTCCTTTATATTTGTTTACACAACAAAATTTTAAAAGGCACATGCTTGTTCATGCTTGTTTTGTGTTTACAGACGGATGATTTCACCTTTGGTGCACCACTGTCAAAGCTGTGACCAGGAGGATTCCTCACTCCCGACCATATCACAGTGGAATTGCTGCACTGGCTTTTCAAGGACAATGCTGATATAAGTTATATGAGCACATGACCTGCCACAATTTAGTGACAACCTCTCAAAATCAGCTACATAAGGCTTAAGGCACAGCTAATCTACACAGAACAGGTGGAAGCTTTCCAATAACCCTTAATCAAATAGAGTGGTGAGCCACGTTTCAAAAAAAAGCTGATTTCAGCTAAATCCACATACCGATACCTGCCCTGGCATTGCTCAATGCAAAAAAAAAAAAAAAAAGCATTAAGAAAATTAAAGAATGCTTGCAGGGAAAAGTAGAGGACTACCCTTAGTCTGCCTCAATACACTTATATGGTGCTTGCAATAAATCAGGGACAGAATGTTTCCATAAGGTTTAGTTTGCAGTTACTCCTCCATTAGCTCCCATTAGCCTTAAAATTGTTTATGCATTACATCCTGCAGCACAGCAAATTGTCACAGCCTGCTGTACCTCAGACCTCAGATGAGCCCCCAGAAGGCAGGGTCGTGCCAGAGAAGCAGCATCAGCTCAGTGTTAATGAGAGAAACGCGCATAGAAACCCTCAGAGCAGTTTGGTTCCATCAGAAATGAGCTTTCTCTGACCCACAAGCCAGCAGCACCCACAACAAAGCATGCTACATAAGGCTGCACTAAGATCAATTAGAGGTGAGGATAAAAATCTATACATTGCGTTCTAATATTCCTTCCAACAAAGGACATTGATCTGAGAAGGCCTGAAGTGCTTTCATCCCTTTTGTCCATGTGCCTTTCCAGATCCACGTGCCACTGTAATATCTGATGTTCCAAGGAGACAGGCAGATAAAGACTGTTTTTCTTCCTTGGCTCCATGCCCTGTCACGGAAGCCTTTTCCTACCTCTTGGGGATGACAAAAGACTGAGATACTTTAGCTTGAGGCACCAGTGAAGCTTGGGGATGGTGCTTTGGTACGTTCATTCCCAGGTGAGCTCATGGACACACAAGTAATTCCCACATTTTCCTCTGGGGTTATCATTGTTTATTTGCCACGTTATCACTATACTTAGAAAGCTTTATGAGTGTATTTACAGAGAAGACAACCATTAATAAGAGGCCTCCAGGGCTCTCCCTTGGAAAACAAGTCACCAAAGAACTCAGCACACATTTCTGCCTGTCAGAGGGACGAGGATTTTATGGACTCAGTTCATCATCTCCGGGAGCCCACCCAGGAGCCAGGCTTGTGGCAAACAAATCCCAATAAACCTGCCTGGAGGCACCACAGCTTGGAGTGCCATATTGCCCTCATAAACTTGCCATGGACAGCTGTGTTTGTGCCTGTGGATCCTGAAAGCAACGTCTACAGGCTGAGAATTCAACGTGAAGAAAGGAGTGCCTCACACAGACCATCAGCAGCTGCACACGAGGCACTCGAAATTCCCCCATAATTGTAAAGGGCCCCATGAGAAGAACAAACAAGCCCTGCCACGTTTCCTAATCTTGCCACACTAGTTATACAGAGAAATGCTCACTCCTAATGATGACACACAAGCTGCTGTAAAGCTTTTCTGCAGCAGTGCTGCTGCTTATATCAGCTATTATCCAGTTATTCCATCCTAACAGCGAAGAATCATTTCTGTGCTTTTCATTCTTCCTCCCAGAGGGCAACAGATGTAATAACTTATTCCCTGTCTGGCACATTAGGGCTTGAAAAATTAATGCAGCTCTGCTGAGATTTCCACTTTCTGCTTTACTTAGAGTGCCAAAGCTTTGAATTTTGGTGAAAAAATATTAAGTAATAAAAAGCTTACTTTAAGTTTGTTAATGTACTTGTCTGCTTTAATGCCTTTCCAAAGTTTCCACAAAATAAGTATTCCACTGACTAAACCTCCCAAATTTCTTTTGCCCTTAAGCTTTTATCACACAGAATCCCTTAAATTGGAAATGACCTCCCACATCATCAAGTCCAGCCTTTAACCAGTCACCACCTTGTCAACCAGACCATGGCACTGAGTGAATGTCCAGACATTTCTAGAACACATAATTATGCTACCGTATAATTGAGACCTCTCCTGTTTGACAATTGTGACATAGCAACTAAACTTTAAACACCATTATCAACTGTAAGGTGTTAAAACCCAGCCCATTGAGAAAAACAGTCACATGTTGCTCTGTGCATGTAGTGTATGCTTTATGCCTATCCATTCCTTCAAAAAACATTCTCCTGTTACATCAATTCTGGGAAAGAGAGCTGTGGTTCAAAGCAAATTCCACTTGTGTGTTATTGCCTCTGCGCAAAGCGTTCCTTCAGGAGCAGAATGAGCGTTGGAATCCGGAATGCAGGGAACTCTTAGAACTTTGGGCCTGGAAGCCAAAGCTTAGAATTAAACACAGGATTTGATCTGAGACCTTGGAAAAGGCTTCCAAACTTAGGTGCTAGAAGCAAGAATGAGGATTTATAGTTTAAAGCAGAGACACAGAAAAGTTTAGAGTTTTAGAGCACAGTACTGTAAGTTTGTGTGTCATGGCATGATTGGTAAAAAAGCTTATACTGTAGCATGAGTCCATAAGACAAAATATTTAAGGATTGAGTCAAAAGCATAAATATCCTTGTTGATAGTGTTTGACTGGTCAACAAATCCTTAAAAAGTCTTGCAACTAGAGGTCTTGTGACCTTATGAACTATCCGGTAAAGATGTGAGCCAAACTCACCCTTCCTGCCTATGCAGAAGATGGGGAAAAAAAAAATTGCATCATGTAAAAAAAAAATCAGAGGTCCTGCCTACAACTCATTCAAAATTCCTTCCCAATTCCTCATACATGAGAAGGGACCACTGCAGTTGCTGTGTGAAGCTTGCCAGGGGCTTGGACAACTGCATTACAAACTTGCAGCACCAAACCAGAGCCCACCCGGTTGAGGATTTCACCCCAGAAGATCCAGATAAACTCACAGAGATAACTGTACCACACTCCTCTGGAGAACCAGAGGATGGGTTCATGTACATAAATGTTTCCCTGTAAATTAGCAGCATCCAATCATTTGGGTCACACACCTTCAGCAGGCACACCTCCAAACTGGCTACCTTTGCAAGCAATAGCCAGACCTGTATTGGGTTACTATAGTGAAAGAAAAAAAAGGCAAAGACAAGCAGGATGTGAGCTGAAGAACAAAATCAGAGCTGGGTACTAGTTCTCCAACAATAATGCAGCATTTTTGCTGGCCTCTCACAGACCTTCACAGTAACATATTTAAGAGATTAAACAAACAAAAGAGTCGTGACTTGGACTTCATCTGCGCAGAATACAGTTCTTAGTGTCAGAATTCCTACCCAAAAGGACAGGTGGAAAGTCTCAAATTAAATATACAGGTTCAACATGTACTAGGAGTTAGAAGAAAAAAAAAGTCCCAGGCAGTTTTTCCTATCACTGTAGAGCATTTGCTAATGCTGCTGCTTTGTGTATTCCAAGCCTGCAAGCAGGGGAACAGGCATTACCCACACATCATATCAGGCTGTCCTTGCACTCCCACACACAGTCACTTAGGGCTCTTTTCCTCCTTGGATGGAAATCCTCAAGTAATTTCTCCTCTGTCCTCCAGGCTGCTGGCTGGGCCCCAGAGAGTGCTGAGCTTTAAAGAGCACAGACTTCATATTTCCAGTCTCTGGCAGCACTTGTTTCTTTATTCCACAGAGGGATCTCTGTTTCCTTAAAAGCTGGCTTTGCTGATTCAGGCTTCCTCATCTCAGCAGATTTCAGTGCAGAGTTTGATCTATCAGCATCAAAGGCATCCCTCTGTTCAGGGCATGCCTCGGCGCTCAAGACAATAAGCAGCAGAATAGTTTCAAACGGGGCTAGTGGTTCCCCTGGAGACCAAAGGCAATTAATAACATGTTTTTCTGCAAGGAGCAGAGCTAATGAAGCCTGATTTCCTGCACATCTGAGACATCCATCTTCTCTGCTGTCTGTAAACTGTTAACCCACTTACTACTGCAAATTGAGCTCCTCTGCCTCCAATCTCACCTGCTGATCCCACTTTTCCTCCTCTTTCATGACAAACAAACATCCACGTCCCTCTTTTTCCTAGCAGGACCCCCAAGTGGTTCTCAGCTTCTTCTGTGCACCTTTACTTGTTCCCTCACTGCCAGACAAACACACTGTGCCCAGAGCTGTGTGGGTACTCAGGCTGCTGGCAGGCAGAACAAGGAATGTCTCCACCTTCGCCAAAGGCACACTACAGCACGTGCCAAAACAGTGATTTTAATGAAAACCATTGGCACTTCACAGCTATGAGACCCCAGCTCAGGCAGAGCTGCCAACTTTGCTTGGAACAGGCCAATAAATACAGAAGTTATCAAGAAGTGTTGGATGAGCGGGACAGGAGAAAGAAGAAAAAGTGTGAGTGCAAAAATTTTTCTCTGAAAATCAGACAACAAAAGGAACAAAGAAGCCTTTCAACTACTCAACTGTGACCCTGACTCACGATTAATATGAACTACAGCAGTTGTGCCACTGACCATCTCTATTTTTTCAGATAAAGAAGTGAACACTAATTTTATTAGTACAGAGATCACAGTGGCTGAGTCCCACTTAAATAAACAAGCTACACGATGAGCATAAGTTGATGAGACTAACAATAAAGAGACTCTAATTGGAGTAATTTCCTCCCCCTCAAGCATATGATTAAACTGGATTATTCCCTACCAAATGATCCAGAAGTGCACTTAAGTCCGAGGAAGGCTCTGGGCACAGCTGTGGGATTCATCCTTTGGGCTCCTTGGGTGTTACTTCTGAACACAGTACTCAGCCCTAGTGACAGCAATATAAATGGGGAATTATTTTCATTTAGAGATGCTAACCAAGGTTTCTAAGCCAAATTATGACCCAAACTACAAACCACTGTTAGCTGGGATTTAGAGCAAGCCATACAGGTTGAAGTGCCCCATGCCCATGGGAATGCTTAATGCCATTGCCATCCTCAATCCACAAGATTAACAGGACTGCACCCTGCCTTCAGGTGTGTGCTCCTGTGAGCAGATTTGAGTAGGAGCTGAGGAAACTTTGCAAAACAAGTCTACAAGAAAAGAGTTTTCATTTAGCAAGTGGCAACTCAGCCAAATGATGAGATGCTGCCTACCTTGCAGAGAGCAGCCTTCCTCCAGGTCAGGGCACACTGGGATTGCTGCTGCTGGCAGTCACGACTGCATGAACTCCTTCCAGTTCTCTTTCTTTTCTCTTTCTTCTTGTTTTGAAATCCAACTCCATAGCTAAAAAATATCAAAAGAGCACAGCATCACTAAGAGAATGATGGCAGTAACTTAAGACTTGAGATTCAGAGGAGTTCAACACTGGTTCTTCTCCCCCTCACCTCCCCAGTAGGTAAAAACTGTCATAAAGATTTAAATCAGCTGTACCAATTTTATGTGGAAACAAACAGAATAAATGCCCTTATTTTCTGCAATCCTTTCAGACACACAGCATTTAATTAAACAGGACAGAGACTACCCTGTCAACATTGTTGCTTTATGTGATCAATTGAAATTATGTAAATAGATGTTGTCATTCTGATCGGATCATTTACACTTTTGTATTTCATGCTCTAAGCATGAAATTTTCTGAGGGGAAAAACTTCTGGATTCTTAGTTTACTTTGCTCATGTTCCAGGCTGACCTCTATCTAGTGCTACATTATATTCATTGGCTAGCAGCTCTTGTATTTGTAAAAAATAAATGTTTACAAGAGGAGAGAGATTATTTCATTTTCACGACAGAGAGTTCCTGCAAAGGAATTTGTTAATACACCTGCAAAGCCAAGGAGAAATATTTCACAGCGGCACTGATGGAAAAGCTCTGGCTGAGGATTTACAAACCATGTGTGAAACTATTTCAGACAGTTCTTAATCACTAGCTTAAAAATCAGCAGGCTCTCTGAATGTCACTGGTATCAAGGTGAATGTCACATACTGCAGAGGATTTTTTTTTTTAATTGGCAATGCTTGAAATGGGCAGGACAGATTTTTTAGGCTATCAGAAAGGTGCAGAAAATACAGAACTGATAGAGTGTCATGCTGCACTCACTGCAGAGGAACCCTGTCACAAAACATTTATTGAAACCCTGGAAAATGTGCAGAAAGTTTTGCTTTGACTTGGAGAGGGAAGGATATAAATGTCTTTTTCGATCACCCTTGGAGTACGTGTTGTGCCTTCACTGCCATCCACACAGGACAGCAGCAACAGCTGAAAGGAGAGGGGGAAACTCTGTTGTCTTTCCCTTTATTTTCCTTCTTCCTCCTTAAAAAAAAAACTAAATACAGAAACCCCATCATCTTTGATGATGTCCCTGTTATTACAATGCAAAATGTGAAAATGTTCCCTCAAACAACAAAATGGGCACAATTCTCACTAAATTGTTTCAGAGACCAGAACAGTCTTTGGAAAGAGTAACTAGTTGTGCACACAATCATCTGCAGCACGCAGAGCATTAGGATATAATTTATGTTTATTAGTCTTTGTGGGGTGCAATAAATCATTGTTTTCATTTGTAGCGCATTATTACAGGAGTGATTTAACTGAGGAGATTCTTGCTCGTGGCCTACAGGAACGAAAGGTTAATGGCATAATGAATTCCTATAAAACAAATAGTAGACTTTGGCCATCCTTCAGCCAGCGGGAGGTAAATTAGCAGGTAATAAAGTGTGTTTGCAATCTGCATTCACAGGCCAATAAATAACATGCAGGGGCTGGTTCTACCTGTCTCAGTTGACAGTGCATTACTGGGACTATAGCTTCAGAGCATCTAAGAGAGGTACAGAGAGCAAAACAGAGCTGATTTTGCAGTATCCTGACTTTTAGCACTGATATATATCAGATATTACCAGAGAGGCATATCTGGAATATTATAGCAATGCTCATAAATTCCACATTGCCTTGTAATAAAGCACGGCTTCTACATGTGGCAAATACACATTCCTGTGGTCCCTTCAGCTTGTGACATTTACTCTGCCATCCTATTAACTGGTGGCATTTCATTCTGGTAATGGAATAGCTGAGGGAAATAAAACCTCAATATGCAGCACCACTCTGAAGGCCAAAAAAAAACCCCATCCTAAAATAATATTCTAGCTCTCACTATGCAAGCTAAACATACCATCAATGTATTTCTGTGAATGGGCATTAATTACCATTCAGTCAGCAAGGCTGAGGCAATGTGTTGCTGCTCTCCTGCTACAATAAATACTGATACATGGCAATGTATTTAAATCAAAGTATTATTAAAACAGGAGAGGGTTTTGTTTGTTTTTTTTAACTGGGATTGTATTCTTTGCCCTAACTGGTCTCAGCTTTCTCTTTTCTTGCCAGTATTAGAGGAAAACAGATCCCCAGTCAATTCCTGGCTCTTGCTATTGATGGTTCTGTGCTACACAAGATGCAGGACCTGTGTAAGGGGTATTGCAGAGAATCCCAAAGCTGAAAGTAAATTCAGCAGCTTTGTTCAAGTTTGGTTTTGTTCTGTATCTCCCAAGGAAAGTATTTTCTGACAGGTAACCAGAGTTTTGGGATAATATTTTAAATCCTTTTGCCCTGAAGAGAAAAAAAATAAGCCAGGTGTCTGAGGGTATTAGGATGTTGATCTCTGCTGCCTGAACAGATCATATGGGGATTTTTGAAAACCTCATTCCAAGCTCTATGCACCTGCAATGCAATCCACCCCAGGGACTTGCCTACACTGCACAGTGAAACTGCTGAATTAAGCCAAGTGACACCAACCAAACAAGATCCAAGGTCTCTTCAGGGTCCCACAGGTCCCAAAATACAATTACTGTCTGCATTTGGCATTTTTTTCCTGAAAACTACCTATAGGGACATGCACATCCTTGCTCTTCTAGCACATGGAAGTGGCAGAGGATGCAGGGACAGTGTTGGGGACACAGGCAGAGCCCACACTGCCAGCAACAGGACACCCCAAATTGCTCCCTGGAGGTTTCAGCAGAGACTGACACCAGGCACAGGTTAACAGCACATTACAGAAACTGCAAAGCCTCCTCTTAAGCTATATATTATATATACCTATATACATATATATATATATATATATATATTTTCATATATATATAAAATATATATATTATATAACATATAATATTATATATATATTATATAATATATAATTGATTGTATAATATATAATACATTATATATATTTTAGATATCATATACATATTTAATTGATATAATATAAAACTTTATCTTTAATTTTACTAATTTTAGTAACTATATTACTGTCAGGGCAGTTACTTCTGTGTTATATAACTTTGCGGATGTGAAGTCTCCTCTCTCCTGCTGAGAGAGGAAAAACTCGTATTTAATCTCTTTGCATCATCCCAAATGGCATTCTCATCTGGGAGCTGATTAAAAGAAACAAAACACCAAACAAAACAGATCAAAAAACTGTACCAGTAAGGCCCCAAGTATTTCTATCCTTCAAGAAAACTTCATAGAGTAAAACTTGGGAAAAAAAATTATGATTATCCTACTTTGGTACTTGAGTGAGGGTATGAAAAATGACCTCCCTTGAAGTGACAAAGCATCACGAAAACAAATGATGCCAGCACAGTGATATTAATGCCATTACATTGTTTTGAAGAGATTAACATCTGCCCTGTGTGACAACTACAGGCAGATCAAGGAATATCACGAGTCAGTCCATACCCTGTTTGCTTTCTTTTGATTTTACTTTGCTGTTCCTGTCACTCCAGCCTCAGTGTTAATGTTCGGCTTATTCTTACAGCATTTAAAGGTAAAATGGCTTTATCCAGAACATGCAGTATCTCTACAATGATTGTGCTATCCAGAACATGCAGTACCTCTGGGATGATTGTGCTTTTTGTAAAGCAGTATTTACCCAATGAAGTTTGGAAGAATTCTTGTCTTGCACTCACTGGTGTTATTGTTGAAGGGGTTTGCTCACATACCCACATCAGTGGAATCAATAGTGGCTTTTTATTCCTCCAGTATTTGTCACTTTTGAATAGACAATATGTGACTCAGAATGCGGGTTCAGGGCTTTTATCAGGTGATAAAAGGGGGCACTCAGGAGCCCTTGCTGGATCGCAGGTGCAGCAGCCAGCTCCATAAAATGCTTTACTTCTGTTCTGCCTCAAAAACACACCACTGATGTAATAACAAACAGGTAATTACAGATTGTGATATTGTTTTAATTTTGAGCATTGCCTTGTCCACCAGTGCCACAAACAAATATATTTTTGCTTATATTTGCTTCTATTTTGAAATGGTTGTTACAACCCTTGCATTTAGCTGGTGATTTTCTTGCCACCTGTGTGAGGCAGTTTCTAACTTTCTTTAGGTAGCCCACTGTGGAGAATATGCTACAAAATATGAAACAGAGCATACTGGTTATGGTACCACATCAATATTAGGATCATTATGCTGTGAGTCTGTTGGTTACAATTCCCAGGCTGTGCTGCACAAGTACACCATTCAGGCCAAAATAATAATTTTGTCAAGAGCAACAGAACTGCAGCACATTCTGAAACTGGGATTGACATCTTAAAATCTATCAGTGAGCCATTCAAGCTGGAGCTGGGAGCTGAGGACAGGGAGCCATTCTGAGGCTGCTGGCTGGAAACCCTGCCCTCAGACACACGCACATGGTGCTTGGACAAGGTTTCCTGAGCGCTCCCCTCCCTCTGCCCCATCTGCTGCCATGGCGCGGCGCCTGCCCGCCCAGGACGGAGCCAGTGTGCTCAGTGCCAAGCAAAATGAGCTTAGATGGGCAGTTTGAGAGCTGTGCCTCTTCTGCACAAAGCCCCTCCTCTTAAGGGCGCTGGCACACGGGTGCCAAATGGCTCTTGTCACTCGGTGGCATCTGCTGGTGCCCACGTGCCAAGAGCACAGCGCCTAAATGGAGATGGTGACAAGGAGGGGAACCTCTGCTCGTGGCTGCCAGTGCTCAAACATGAGGCCATCAGCACAGCACAGGGTATAAAACAATGCTAAACTCAATCAGAGCCTCACAACAGCCTGATAAAGGATAAACCACAACTCAGGATGAGATCAGGAAACAAAAAACCCGTGATGGTGAAAAGATCCAAACCATGGTTTTGCACTTACTAAAAGGACTATAAAGCACCCAAAACTTCATTACCCTTGTGTACATGCTTTCCAGTACATTTACATATGAAGAATTTAAAGTGTCCTGTTAATACCCATTCAAATGCAAAGGCACAAATAAAAGCAAACACCAACCA